GGCAGAGATTCATGTTCAGTGTGTTGTCTATAATAGACATGTAAGTGCCAGCACAGAACAACCAAATTTTCAGTGTGTAGATATGTAATCATGGTCTGAGGAATCTATCTACTCACCATGACCAGAATATATTTTAGATGTAGTGAAACATGGACATTGGTGACATCTGCATTTACCAATTGTTGATCATTTTGATGTTTTATATTATTATTGTTCCATTTCCACTTCAGAACTGGCCTTGGTTGAACATACTAAACAATCTGTCCATTCACATATCCCTTTATCTGCCTGACTATACATGTATGTCCCACTCTATTTGAATGCAGAGATAAAATAAATATCTTTCAGCCTTTCTCAGTCCATACTGTGAGTTATGAGACCTTGTTTTTTCCACTCTGAGTTATGACCCTCTTGCTTTGTGCTTGGGATGAAGATCCAAGCAGAAAAAGCTTGACTGGTAGCTTACAGCCACACCAATCACAAACTCAGTCAGTGTGAGGCTCATCTTTTTTCTAATGTTAACTTTTGAACAACTGTTTTATTTTCATCCACCAGACAAAAACTGTTACTTCTTGATATGCATGTGCAAATTTAGAATAGTTTTTTTGCATATTAACCCTTTGACCCCAAAGACTGTCCAACATCTAATTTCTCCTTACAATATCACCTCTGAATCACACATTAAGGTTGACAGAATAAAGGAAATGATCACCAGCTGAAGAAGCTTTTCATTGATGATTTTAGATATATGAAATTCATATATTTATGAAGAAACAAAATTAAGAGACCCTCTCAGCTAAGAACACTACTGAAATGAGTCCTATTTTCAACTACTCGTTTCAGTAGTGTTCTTAGCTGTGAGGGTCTCTTAATTTCGAAGCTCTTGATTGTTAAACAAATTCTCTTAGTCAGCATCTTAGGAAATGTATAGGGAACAGTAATGAGAATATACTTGTTGATTTAAGGGGTAAAAGGGTTATGAAAACTAACTCTCCTTTTTTGTCTGTTTGTGTTTTGTATGAAGGTTCCCCCCTCTCCATTTGCAGCTTCAAAACCTGCACCCACAAGAGAGTTAAGCTTTGAGATGGTCCAAGCTGAAGATTGTGAGCCAAATCCTCAGACATCAGAAGAAAAATCTGAGCTATTTTCACGATTAGAGGATGCCCTTATTAAACAAATTGAGGTGATATACCTTAATCATAACAATGTTATGTACTTATCGTTCAAAAGTGCTGATAGGCCATAACTCCCTCATAAATTTATTCTTCACTTTGAAATTATTATCTGTCCCTAAAGTCTTTTATGAAAAGGTTATCAGAAGCTCTAGTAGAGGGGATAGTTTCTTAAAAAGTTCAGTTTTTAAAACTGAAATTTTAATTTTGGTGCAAGTTCCATGTTGGTGCTTTTATTTGTGGTTTCCAGAGTCAGAGTCAGAGCCAGAGCCAGAGCCAGAGTCAGAGTCAGAGTCAGAGTCAGAGTCAGAGTCAGAGTCAGAGTCAGAGTCAGAGTCAGAGTCAGAGTCAGAGTCAGAGTCAGAGTCAGAGTCAGAGTCAGAGTCAGAGTCAGAGTCAGAGTCAGAGTCAGAGTCAGAGTCAGAGTCAGAGTCAGAGTCAGAGTCAGAGTCAGAGTCAGAGTCAGAGTCAGAGTCAGAGTCAGAGTCAGAGTCAGAGTCAGAGTCAGAGTCAGAGTCAGAGTCAGAGTCAGAGTCAGAGTCAGAACAGAATAAGAATGAGATTTTAGCTAGATAAGAATTTTGCTTCATGTTCTTAAAGAGCGTTTAAAAAACTCATAATTTGTGACTCTGGAGATAGTTCATTCTTTACCCTGCAGAAAAAGCTTAATCTGATAAAATGTTTAGGAATATATTTTATTTCACAGATGTGTGCCAGAAATGCTCAACATTACCAGAAGTTAGGTGATATAACCAACACTAAAAAGTAAGTTTGTAATATTAACAAAAATCATGTAATCAGCTGCAGGCGATCACAAGCAGACCCATCCATGTTTTATAAGATATCTAAGGGAGATTCCCCTTGGCAGTCAATTTGTGTTTTTGAAAACAATTCATCCATTTGACATTGTTATGTTCAGTCACAGAGTAATTCTGAGACTGCTGTGTCTGTTCAAGATGACTTTCAAAGTGTACATAATTATTAATACTTGCAAAAGGATTTTGTGGAAATTAAGTGATCATACTAGAAATCAAATTCTGCTACTAATGAGGGAACAGATTCCAAAAGGACCTGGAAAGACAGAGGGGCTTGGAAATGACCTCTGTCAATCAAAAAAGGAAAATGGTCTTTTTTGAGTGAGAATTCACAATTCAGACATCAAAAGAAACAGAGTTATGTTTCTGATTAGTTTTAAAAAAAGCCTTTGTAAAGTGATATATTTTAGCTGTCACCTTGATTGTTCCTCTCTGTTCTCCCATTTCTTCTTGGTTTTTCATTACATAAAGCTTTGACAAGATGGCAAAGAATTTAAGACAGGACCTTGATTCAGTTCAAAGTGCCCGGAAATACCAGGATCCTCCACCAAAATTCCATTATGAAGACAGATCATTTACAATTGTTGAGTAAGTCATCTTAAAAGCATTTTTTTATTATTTTTAAAAAGCTGTGAGCTAAGAAATATAACTTTGAAAGAGAGTTAATTTCAAGGCTTTATTGAGCCACAGTCACTGAAAAAGAAATAATTTACAAACTTTGTCTTCAAAGATGAAATAACTCTTGCTACACTATATCCTTTTCCAGCATCAGCCCTCAACCAACCCTCAGGCTTGAAATCTCTCAGAAAAGTGCTATGGCACATAATTTTTTTTTTTTATAAGTTTTTAATTCAGAGTTCATTTTTTGATAATATACATTTTATCATGTAAGAACTGCATCATGCTCATAATGACTAAGGACAGGTCAGTTAATCCCAAACAATGCAAACAGTGAAAATTGAATTAGTATTACAGACAAGTAAAAACTCCGAATTCAAATTCACAGCCTGTGTTCAAAAAATTATGACAATTATTTAAAAGCTTGAGGGCAACGAAGGGCTTCCAGTTTAAAACTTTTTATACCCCTATAATTTTGAATTAGCACAGTTTCACAGAGAAGTGAAAGGCTTATCCAGGGCCTATGTTTATTGCTATTTTTACTGCTAGGTGCAGTTAAGAGCATTGTGTCTTCAGTGGACCTGCTTGAATTCCCACAGCCATTCACAATGAATTTAATTATGTTGTATATTGATATTTCTTACGGTGCATATGCATTTTTTAGTTCATTTCCAGATCTGAGTGATTCAGAGGTGGAGTTGACAATAGTTAGAGGGCTCAATATACCTCTTCCCTCAGGTGAGTACTTTGATTTACTGTTAGTAATTAATTGAATCCAGAACCTATTGCCAATTAATTACCAAAGCTTCAAAGCCTCTGGGAAAGGTCTGGGTTCTTTAGTTATTTTGAATATCACGAATTTTGCATCGACGTACTGTAACTGACCCCAGTGGGCACATCATAGAGGGCGACCAGAATTTTGGCTGGTTTGGATATCTTTATTAAGACGACGTTGACGACAGATTCTTATACAATACTTTTCACGAAGAAATTTTATTACTTTCCTATTGCCTTATCTACTGTACCTGACCCATTTCAGCCAAGGTTTTCTAAATTGTAGGAATGCCCCACTATGGCCAATTAGAGAAAGTCGACGTTAAATGCGGAATATGGAAAATACTAGTGAATAGTACCTATAGGATGTGTTTCTTAGGGGAACACTTGATCACCTTTTTGTTACTGTTATCGTTACTTTGAAATGTATTTGCATTAACCCTTTAACACCCAGATCAAATCTGTAATTCTCCTTGCTTTCAACCATACAATTCTTACGATATTAGTTCAGAGAATTTAGTGCTGGATCAACTTATTATCTCCAAATTGATATTTTTCTTTATTCTCATCACTTATCTGGTTGATGTTGTATTGATATTGTAAGGAGAAATTCTGTCTTGGTCACTCACGGGAGTTAAAAGGTTAAACGTATGTTAAGAACTTTCTGTTGTGTAGGCTTACTTTGGGATGTTAATCTTCACTGTTTTCTTTTTAACACAGGTTATCAACCAAAGGACATGTACACTTATGTATCTTATGAATTTCCTTTTCCAAGTGTAAGTTCATCATTACTGATTTGTCACTGTAGTCTCCTGAGCCGCTTTTGTTTGGTCTTGTCATTCAACAGCCTGGCACCAAACAAAGGCTTTGGAGGACAATTCTGAGCGAGAAGCATAAATTTTTACCTGGTGATTGATTTATTAATTTAGTTTTTTATCCTCTCTGCTTAAAGAGCCTTTTTTATCCCTATGTCCGAAATTACTGAACGTGACTTACGATAGATGTTTGGAATATCTTTCTGTTGTTAATCTTCAGGCAGATGAACCTCAGACCGGCAGGACACAAACTATTAAGCACTCTATCAATCCAGGTAAATTTTCTAGTTTGTTTTGTTTGTTTGTTTGTTTTTCTAGTTGTCTGAATTTTTATTTCAGTGCCTGCCCTAACTGCTTCCTTGTGTTAACTTTCTTTACAGATTACAAAGAGGTTTTCAAAGTACAGATAGATAGGAAAAATCGATCTTTAGGAAGAATTTTCAAGAGACAGCCCGTCAAATTTGAAGTCAAATATGAAAGGTATGACTTAGTTGCATTACCTATTTTTATAAATACCTCATTTCTCGTTAGTGGTCGTCCCGTTTTTGCTGGATGTTGTGCGGATAATCAAAGGGGTCGCTACATCCCTCCTGGGAGTGGGGATTAGCTATTGAAGTGTTAGGTTAAAATTTGTTCAAGAATATTCTCTTGCTAGCCCTTACTGACAGACTGCGGGTGTGAATGGGGTGTTTCGGGAAGGAGAGGTAAAGGGGGCGATCTGCGACAGGGTTCTCTTTTAGATACAGTTAAACCTGTATTAAGCGCACCAAAGGGGAATGGAAGGATGACAACCAGTTCGACAGAATAGGGGTATTACAAAAAGATGATACACAACGCCGTTTAGTGCTATAACTAACAAATGAATGTGCAGAATCTCGCTCGGAAATACTACTTACTTTGCTTTTGGGAGAGATACATGGATTAAAAATATTTTGAAAGATTCTTCTTGGTTTTATTTGAGTGTTCCTGCTTTCAGTGACCGTTAAATACAGGTGAAGAACAATAAAAACAGGCGGTTGGGCTTAGTAAAGGGTGACCGCGACCTCTTAATAGATGTGACCGCCTAAAAGAGGTGAAAATTACAGGGATTAAGGGGAAACAAATTGGGGACTTAAACAACTGACCGCTTAATACAGGGTGACCGCTTAATATGATACTGCTTAATACAGGCTCAACTGCGCATGATTATGAAAGCTGATATGATATCTTCCAGGGGCTTCCTCAAAGGTGACAAAGCTTTGGGACAAGTGCAAGTGAAGCTTACCCCATTTGATAACAAGTGTGAAATTCACGACTGTTTTGATGTAAGTGTTAATTTGGTTTATTCTTTAATTGATGTTTTTATGGTGGACCCTAACATTAAAAGCCATATTCTCCATACTGTTCTCTGCACGTTTTCTAAGGAGCCAGATCTGTACGTACAGATCGTTTATAAATATATATATATATTTTTTTCCCTCAAGGTAATGGATACGGAACGTGGACGAAAAGCGGTCGGCGGGAAACTTGAAGTTCACATGAGGATCAGAGAGCCGTTGGTGGATAAAGATGTGAAAGTTGAAAAATGGAAATGGCTTGTTATTGATGTTCACTTGACGTCCAGGAAAGTGAGTGTGTTGGACGATTTGCCAGCCTACGAGTAGGTCCTCGTTATCAGCGCTTCAGCACGAGTGTTTCTTCGCCCGCGGGAAACTAGGAGATCTTGAACAACGGGAGCCAGCGAGAGGTCTATAATGGGTCTGGAACTGATTATTAGTGCCAGACCCCCCCGTAAACCTCTCCCCGGCCCGTCTCAAATCTTCCCGCGGGCGGGAAAATGCGCGTCCTGCAGCCGCGTTAATAACGGAGACCTGCTGAGAGGCGAACTACTTTCTTATTACATACGTAATGATATTGGTATCTCATGGAGAGTTCTATTTCAATAGCATGAACCTTTGAACAATTATTGTTATGTCAGACAATTTAACTAGAAAAGAACAAAACGCAAAAGAATGAGTATGGCTAAGAGTGGTGCAAATTAACGCGGAGTACAAATGATGCTCATGCAAATTGTCGACGAAGCTTTTAAAAATCCACGAACTTTAGCGTAGCTTCTTTGGTTCGTTTTGGTTGCGTGTCCATGCAAATTGGGTTCTTCCACTTTGCATGGGCCTTTTTTCGAACCAACTAGATATCATGAATAAAGGGGGTAAGATTCTAAAGAAACTGTGGTGCTGCGTCGGTGGGAGGGTACAACAGGGTAATTTGGTATTATCACCTGAGTTGATAACGTAAATTGGCCACCGTAAACAGTTTCAAAGCTGACATTTCGAACGTTAGCCCTTCGTCCTTCGCTCGGTCTAGGGGCTAACGTTCGAAACGTCAGCTTTGAAACTCTCTACGGTGGCCAAATTACGTTATCAACTCAGTTTATGATACCAAATTACCCAATTAGATATTAAACAGTTTCTGGCTGGTCGTTTTAAGCTTCAAAAACTGAGGGTTGTTTGTCGGCCTCTCAGCCGGATATGTCTTAAGTAGTTTTTCTCAGAAATTCATGGCCAACATTTCACACGAGGTGGATATTGCATATTTTGTATGAACTTCAGGGTACAGTGATCTTTCTTTCAGTCTTGCGCAAATTAAAACTAAATCAGACGTTAACATGTTTTGTTTGGTTAACAGGCAGGCGCTGTTTCTAAGGTGAGTGTGTGTTTTTTCTTTCCAGGTCTTTCGCAATAATTGTCACCTATTAATTCAGACTTCATCTGTCAATGATCATTCTCTGTTCTCGGCTTTGATTGAAGACAAATTTATTACCAAAAAAAATGGGACAGTCACAGTTTTTTTTGTCTTTGGTGGTCCTCTTTTGAAAACGTTGATGTGCTATATTTTAAAGAAGGAAAATATATAAATGATGTAGTGCTATCTTATCCAGTTGGCTTGCTTAGTCGACATGCTAAGAAAATATCACGAGAAAAAGCATGTCAAGATGAAGTAATACATTGTCAAGACGTGATTTGCTAGGATTTAACCCTTTAACTCCCAAGATCTGATAGTTAATTCTCTCCTTCAACTTCTACACATTCCCTTGTGAATTAGTTACGAGAATTTGGTGTTAGATCAAGATAACGACGTCTTCCTGATAAGCTTGAGTATTCTCATTACCTGTTTGCTGGTTAATGTATGTATGTTGTAGGGAGAAGTTACTTGTTAATCACGTCTAGGAGTTGAAGGGTTAACTGGAACATTAGTTGATTAGCCTTGGCGATGTTGGTCATTGACAAGTGTTTTCAGAAGAAGACAGAACAACCATTTTTTCTCGACAACTGTGATGTGGTCGGTCATAGGTTTGTGCAACAAGTTTAGATTGATAATCAGATTGACATTGGATTGGTTTCTTCTCTTAGGAACCGGCTAATTTGCCACCAAAACCTGGCAAAGTAACAAGAGGACCAGAGTGAGTACATTCATTTGCACTGATCGCTATTTGAATTCAACATGATTAAATCTGCTGTTGGTAAAAACTGCTCGAAGACAAGTGAACGAGCTGTTAGTCTATCTTCACATAAATACACATTTGGGTTATGATTGAAATAACTTCTAGTGTGGAAATAAATGTTATCCTTAAAATGAAATGGGATTACTGTTATTTTTAATATTAATAGTATTATTATTGTTATTAAGTCCTTGTGTGTTACGCTTTATCACCCCGCCTACTCCAACCTTATGAACAACAGTCCTGGCATGATATCTTCAGTTATAATAAACACACTAACAATCTAACACCAACACAAGAAGCTGCCTGCTAGTCCACAAACTCGAAGGAAACTGTCTCAACTAGTAATTGCCTATTTTGCGCAATCTTTGTTAGAAACCATGTAAGAATACGTTTAGATTTTGTGTGCAGTTTGGATGAATTCTGATGACCATACAGAGGTAATTGCTCAGTCTTAAGTTGGTGTTATTTCCAACATTTACTACTCATAATTTTTACTTTTTCAAGATTAAGTGAAGAACTGAGATTCATCGCTCGGCTGCATTCTAAAATAAGTGTCAGTGAAAACCTCAAATTATATACCAGCAACTCTTCCTGCATTTTATTTTTAATGGCCGGTTTTCACTTTTTTTCAGGAAGCAAAAGCGTTGCGAAGCAAATAAATAGCTTATTTGAAATAAAAGATAAAAAGCAGCCGGGAAAGCGAAGCATCGGCACATTTTTGTGTTATTTAAGAACTTTCGTGAACTAATGACATAGTGAAGCAATAGTTTATACTTCAGTAAAGAATAAACTTTGTGATTAGTAAACCATCTTTGATGGTCTGAGTTTTTGTATAAAAGAGATTGTCGCTTTTAAAGCATGGTTGTTGCACCATGTGAAATTTTCTTCGTGAAATTGTTCAGCTGTTCAAGTGTATTTGAGAGTTTCCTATTTTCTTTCAAATCATTTATTCATGTCTCTCTTATCTATTTCGTTCGTAGCGCCAAATCAGCAGTTTGTTCTGTCAGTTGACAAGCTCGTGGCCTCTAAGAGGGAGGATTAAACTGAAGACTGAAAACCATACTTGTCAGTCAGCCAAGAAATCCTGCATTGAAAGTTCGACTAAGTTAATTTTAAGCGCATCGTTTCCCTCTGTACACTATATCGAGGCTTTCATACGTCATCACCATGTATCTGCATTATATCGAGGCTTTTATACGTCATCACGGTATTTATCTAGGAGTACTTGACATTTTTTTACTAGCATTCTTTCATCACAGATTTTAAAGGAAAGTTAAGCTATGGTTAGAATCTAACAAGTGCAGCTGGTACTGCGCCTAAGTTTAGCAAAACATCGTGGATCATATTTGCCGAAGTTTGTGTTTAAGGATGTGTATAAAAGATCAGAAATACTCTTACCTCCTTCATCTAAGCTGCGAGTAACATATTTTTTCGTTATCCTTACTAATTTTGATAATGATAGAAATAAATTATTAAGATCCTTCAACAGTTCCCATGTGTTTATGTACTAGCAGGCTAGTTCTTCCACTTAAAAATTATCAAGAAATTTGGTTTGTAACGCTGTATAAAATGCTCGAAGGAGCTTAAACTTCGTGTTTGTATATGTAGAAATGCTTTTGCCTCGTCGTCGTTGTTGTTGTATAGAAAACCAACAACTGTCGTAAAAATATGTAGTAGTTTAGGTTGACTAAGAATTTTTAACACGAGTGCGAAATAACAGTACAGAAAAGAGTGTAAAAGAGTGGATTAATACAGAGTAATATATATGACTTGAAAAAATAGTATTCGCCTCTTCACGTTAGATAGACCACCTGTTCAGGCATAACTTGTTTGTCAAGCAGATAATATAATAGAGAGATTATAATAAATACTGATTTTTAACGTTTATAGAAAAGACACTGCGGTTAGAATCGTATTGAGTCTTGGGCTCTGAGAAAAGATAAAATTAAATGACCTCTGATAAATGGTGAAAATCATTTTTCAGTCCTCCGGTAAATTCCTTTTGTAAATTATTAAATGAGCGCTTTCACCTTCCCCAACCCAAACGAGGAACGTTTTGACCTCTAAATCGCCTAGTTGGCGGCCTTAAGATGGAAAAAGGTAGCTCTGGGTGTAAATGAACAGAGATGGACAGGCTGCTCACTTTTTATACGTTCTCCTTAGTATATCACAAAGGATGAGTTTCTGTCTCTTATTTTGCGGTTTTGGCAACCGTCTTCATACAACAGTTTCGCTCGGGTAAACTGATTTTTTTGCACCGTTTTACTTTTTAATCTTTTTGGCGCTGTTTTTTCCTAGTATTGCGACGGAATTTGCTAGCTTGGAGGTCTTGAAACTGGAAAAACAGATCGCCGAAAAACAGGTGAACTTGTATTGCTAATATTTTACAAGTGTTGGATAGTAACGCCAGAGAAGACCATGCAAACAGGCAATGTTCGTACGGCGTACATGACCAAGTCGATGAAGCGGGCTCAGACATGTTTTCAGACAAATATGGTTGGAGAGATAACACGAGTCCCAACGCTAAGCCTATTCACGGTACATTCTCGTGTAAAATACTTATTACTAAAGTTATTATTCCTCCAACCCTTCTCTACACAATTTCACTGGAATGGATACAAATTAACAGTCGTACTACAAAAGAGAACCAGCTGCTGTTTCTCGAGTCAACTTATGTTATAAAGATTCTATGTAACGCGCGTTCTGATTGGCTGAAACAGCGTGCTTTATCAAACCTAAGAGTAGCGCTGTCACGTCATCGACCCATTTGTACAAAAAAAGACAAAAATAACAACAAATAAAGAAGCCTCGACTAAGCTCTGTTCTGTTGTAAAACAGTCAGGAAGCGACCAGAGCTCTCGAGAAGTAAAGTTTGTCCTACATTTGTTTCGTGCTCTGGCCACTTCCTGCGTGTGTTACAGCAGAACAAAGCACAGTCGAGCCTATTTTGTGAGTCAAAGAAACAAACCGATAGCTCCTATCAGGAGCCAGAGGTGGTAAGGTTCACTATCACCATCCGTCGTGACTGCGTTGACACATATTTATTCACTGATGTTGATGGTGCTGATCATGTTTGTTTTTTGTGTCATAGATTGCTGCTCATAAAGCCAAAGGAGAAATGCCTCCTGCAGTCCTCATACAGCGCTGCAAACTGTGTCAGCAGAAGATAGCTGAAGTGGAGAGGACTCTATCGAGTGGTGACAAAAACGTATTGATAAGTGCGTATGAGCTTATCTCCTTTTTTCTTTAAAATATTGCACGAAGCAGGACAGGAATAGCTTGGGTGAATGTATCACACAGAATGCATTGGTATCAGTGATTATAGCCTCAAGGGTTTGAGAGACCGAATACTTGTGCGCTTTGAAACGCTTTGAACGAGTGACGAAATTGGCCCACAAGGACTAGAAGAGCTCAATTTCTGATTCAAAAGGTCATTATATCATCTTATTCAAGAGGATTGCCGTGTTTTTGGTTTGTGCCGAAAACCAGATAGATGTTTAGGGTAAAACTCCCACGTCACAGTATAGACTTCTTCACCTCCTTCTTAAGGCTCTAAGTAAGAAAGGATGCTTGTCGCGTTATACTGTGTAAAGAACTAAACAAATAGCCCGACTACTTTCTATTTAGGACGTTTTTATTCTGACATTGGTGTTTAATCCGACAGACTACATACGTCAACTTCAAACGAAGATCCCTCAAGAGCATGCTAAGGCGCAACAAGTTTTGAAAGCTGGCAACAGGAGTGAAGCTCAACTGTGTTTAACCAGGAGAAAGCTGATGGAAAACGAGGTAAATATGAAGTGTAATTTAGTGTGAAGTGTGACTGGGCGTGATTGATTTGTGATGAGCGTGAAAGAAGGCTTAGTCAGTGTGCCAAGAAAAGGCATTTCCAAGTATGACGATATCGTCATTTTTCAATACCATTACTTTTCTCGCGGTTAATTAAACAAGATTGACTGCAGCTAAATTGAATTTCGCCTATCAGTGGTAAAGATCAAAGGAAGCAAAGGCGTTGGGAAAATGATCAGGAATTTGGATGAAATTCACTGTTTGGTCAGTTTTAAGTAAGCACTTTTATCATGAGCCGTTTATGACCACTATTTACTTTTTCATCCACCCATCAATTTATCCATCATTCCTTTTATTTATTCATTCATTTCGTCAATGCTTAGATTCAATGTGCTTAACTCTTACTAACCGAGTCCGAGGTCCGTCCTGTAAGTTACGTGAAGCGCGCGCGCGCCATAAATCCGAGCGGAAAAAAACGAGGTTCCGTAACTTACAGCATGGACCGAGAAAACGAGGTGAGTATAATATTTATTATATCTCTGGATTCAAATAGAGAGAAGATTTTAATTCAAAACAACTTTTGAATTTAGCGGGCCCTACGGCGAAATACGAGTCACTAAATTGACCAATCACAGCGCACGTACTTACTGTTTCCATGTAAGAAAAATATTAATTATCACCTTTTTGTTTTTTGCTCTTGGCAGGTCTCTACTCTTAAGTCTCAGCTTGGTATGCGTTAGATATCGATAACTGTCACAACCATATGATAAGGATATTAAAAATAATAGAGCCCATCATGAATTTCGTTGCTTATATCTTAAGCACATGTTAAAGGTTTTTTGTAAGGGAAAAACCTAAAATTGTTATAACTTAGGTGAGAATTGTGTTATAATTTCTCTTTGCACATAATATGATATCTGTCTGCGAGGTTTCTCTATTAAACTCGTAGTTCGTTACTTAAGGAATACAGCAAAGTTCCTTGCACCTCAGTCACAAAAGCAAAAATCAAAAAGTTAAGGCATGAAGTTTTTTAAACAATTTTTGAACAATATCAAAACATTGTGACCTACGTTTTTTTTTTTTTATGTCACTGGATCTGTAATAGTAATTTGTGGGTTTCGCCTTAATCTTTTTTTTTTAATCCATGGCGAAATTTTCAGAAATTTTCAGTTATATGCCTTTGATATGAAGATGGTAGTATAAAACACTCTCGATACGTTACTTTTTCCCTACTTTTGCTGAGGTATTTAAAATGTTGCACGCACTGCAAATTCTTTGGACACAGGAATATATGATGAGATTTCCAAATAAACTCTCCATTGACTTTAATCCTTTGTCAAAAATATTTGTGTCATACTTGAAACTGGTTGCGGTATCTTTTATCCTGTGCTGCGCACTCATATTGAGAACGAAAACTCACCAACGCAAGATGCGAGCATTCTATATCCTTTTGTGGTAACTTTTGATGATTTCGTGAAACAAACACTGCGGTCAGGAAGGCAGTCGGTTGATCAAGATGTTCGAATTTGTAGTACATGTTTCAATATCACACGCACCTTTTTCACTTACAATAACTCAGAGTGGTGGTGAGAGGTCGTTTGAATTTTTAACAACCTAAGGAGGCTTACATAATTAGTTAACTTTTCAGTCTAAAAATTTACATAATGAACTTTTAATTTAAAGTGGGATTTTCCTAGTTGATGTGGAGGCTCCTTTACTATGTAACAAGTTTAAACGGTTTTTCCAACACTTAAACAAAGAAATAATCCCCGCAAGTGGACTGCAATTTAAGCAATTGCAGAAACTGAAGCCTGAAAACAAATTCAGGTTTTGACAGGATTCGAACCCAGGCCTCCATAGTTAAGTGCATGCTACTACTTACTGAGCACCGAAGCCACACGGCGGAAGGGAGGGAAATTATAAAGGGTTCATCTTTCCCTTAATTAAAAGAACCTAATCAAAATTTTAATGAAATATTGTGACTGAAAAGGATATGTCACATCGAAACATGTTCCCGCATATACTTCGCTACCGTCTTTCATGTTAAAAAGTGAGGTTGGTTGAGCTTATGGCGATGAGTTTACAATGTATCACATTTTTTAACGTAAAGCATAGCCTCGCTAAAGACAGAGCACAGCGTTGGATATGACGAGTCCGTTACATTCAGGTCACGCGTTTCATTTTTCCTGTTGACTGTACACGAGAAAGATATCAGAGAACCTTATATAGCATGTCATTATTTAAACTGCTGTGTTTTATAAGGATATCCAGCCCTGAGAAAAGCTTTAACTGCTCAAATGTAAAAAAATACGATATTTTTTTCGTGTGTTTGATATCCCCAATCAGCCGCTGACACGTCATTCGCCTTTCGCACCACTCATTCTTTAAGAAAGTCGACTTTTCTTCTCAGTTAAGGTCTATGGTGTTTCTATATAATAAACAACATAGTAGATGTGAAATTTCTCTTCTCGTGTTCAGTACTGTTCAACCCGATATCTCACGAGTAAGTGCATTCCATATCGACGCGCGCCCATATACTACTCTCCATTTAAGACGCACAAATTTTCGGTATCATGTGATATCATTGTCAAGTGACAATTTAAAGAGAAAAAAAAACAGCTAAGTTAAGATAAACTTGTAGAGTGTCAGATGGTTTTATGCCGAAGAATACACGAGTAATGATATAGTGTAAATTAACGGCTGATTAGCTTGGATGATTACAGGTCAGTCAGGGTGAAGCAAACAAATACTTTGCCGCAAGTTTAGTCAACGCACTATCAGGTTCCATTCGAGTGAGGGTATTTGTTTGGTTCAGAAACTTAGGTGTAGGTCAATCAAGTACTAATTTACACCTCATCATTACTGGTTTATTCTTTTGCATAAAACTTGACCTTTTCCTTTTAATTTTCACTTGACGGTGATAATCTGACAATATCCGAACTTTGTGCGATTTTCTTCACTGAAAAGCAGAACCAAACGAATCCAGAAGGTTCTGCTCTAATCTTGCACCGCAGACGGCAGCTTGTTATAAACAATAGTAGGTTTGTGTGGTAACTTCGAGGCTGAGAATCCAAACTCGACAATTATGATTTTGCCTCATGAAAATCGTATTGTTGATACAGAATGTTAGAAAAGGTCGATAAAAATTTAAGGGTGAGTCGGTCAATCGTGAACATACTAAAGCACT